AATATAAAATAATGGTTTCTATTTTAATATCCTTTAAAATATAATTTATTTCTGTGATGCAAAGCTGAATTTCCATCATCATTACTCCAGTATAACGTGTCACATGATCCTTCAGAACCTCGGGAGACAAGACAAAAGTTTCCTTCATACACATTTAATCTGCACATAAAACATTAGAAATTAGTTACATTTTTATTGTGTGTTTGACTGTTAAAACAAAAAATATTTGTTGTTTGTCTCAATAAATTGGGTTAATTTAAAAATACAGTGGTTAAATGTAAAAAAAAAAAATTATATTGCTCTCCGTTTTAAAAAAGGTTATAAAAAAATGTCAATAATTATTGATACCGAATGATATGAAACATTATATCGTTGATACATTTTTTAGCTATATCGCCCAGCCCTAGTGTATGTATGTATGTGTATATATATATAATATATTTTAAGTTATAATAAAATAACTTGAGACCGATTAAAACATACACTACCATTCAAAAGTTTTAAAATAATGCAAAGATGCATTAAATTGATCAAAAGTGAGAGTAAAGACATTTATAATGTTACTAAAGATTTCAATTTTAAATGCTGTTCTTTTGAAGTTATTCACCAAAGAAACCATTTTCTTAATGGTTTCTAATAATACAATGCAGCAAATCAGCATATTAGAAATGACATTTTAATATTTAATAACATAGAAAATAATCATTTAAAATTATAATAATATTTCAGAATATTACTGTTTTTTTCTGTAGTCATGATGAAATAAATGCAGCCTTGGTGAGCAGAAGAGACTTCTTTCAATAACATAAAAAAAATCCAACCTTCTGTATGGTAGAGTACACTCAAATTATTTAAGTTGTCATAAAATGTATTTATTATTTTAAGTCGAGATCGTTAAAGAAAATGGTCCGAATGATCATATTTGAAGGATCTCTTTATGTTGAGTACAGGAACAGAAAGAGCCTGACGTTACTCACATCCATCCGAGTCCTGAGCCTGGAGCCCATCTGCTCTGTGGACGTGCACCTGTGTGACCAGCTTTGGATACCCACAGCACCCTGTCCAACAGGTTTGGGGCGGCTCGTCTAATGTCAGCTCCCTAAACACCACACAACCTTCCTCAATACACTCAGCATCCACACTGCAAACAGAAAAGACTACTGTAAATACACATTTCTGATGTATTACTTGCAGGCGGCAGGCACATCCGTGAAGATGCGCAACAGGAAGTCTCCCTGCAGGCCGGGGTCAAAGGTTGTGGGAATGATGACGTAGCGGCCCTCCTTCAGGTCCTTGCGCAGAAACACGCTGCGGGAGTTAATGTAGATGGAGCTGCCCACTGTTTTCTGGATGGTGTGCATGCGGTACGTCCGGTTGAGCTCCACCTATCAGAAAACACATCTCGACCAATCAATTAATATCATATTTCATCAATGAAATCCAATATTTGTTTCTTACCAATTTGGAGGTGCTGATTCCAAAAATAGTGTCTGTTTTGCTTAAACATGTCACACTTACTCATAAAATGTGCATTTCGTTGCATTTTTGCTTTCAGATCAAACATGACTATAGTGTCATAAAAACACTAACTTATGTGTGAAAACTTACATGCAATATTACTCCTGTCATGCATGTAAACCAGGCAAACCCAATAATTTCATGATAATTGCGAAGATGCCAGAAAGGGAGGATGATGTATTTTTGCAATGAAGAATTAATGTAACTGCTTTAACAAAAACTGCTTTTAAACCAGTTCTAATGAAACATTATTTTCTATGGTAATCGACAGCATGTCACAGATAGAAATGCTAAAACATTATTTGAGATGTTAACATATATACAGGGAGCACACGGATGAAAGCAATGACAGTACTCATTATGTTTATTATTAAGGAGAAACGGGATAGTTTTGCGTTTTCCGGAGCCAGAAACATTTGTATTTGATCAGAATATTCCTTTGTTGAATATGAATCTCACCAGAACTCGCCATCATCCTCCACGGTTACACCAATCTTCTCTCGCTCGCTCTTACTGACTCTCTTCCACTCCTCTGAGCTACAGATGGACAGAGACAGACCAAAATTGATTTAAGAAAAAACATTATAGTGCTTCAATTCAATTCCCTGTAAAACACACAAACAAACACACACACACACACACACACAAACACACACACGTACATATGCATTATTTTTCTGTTCATTACTGTAAAGCGGCTTTGAAACAATCTGTATTACATAAAGCACTATATAAAAAAAAGTGACTTGCCTTGATATATTAAAAAAAAAAAAAAATTCAACCAATATCCATTTTAATGCCATATTTTATAAGTTTTTTACATTTTTGAACCTTTGATTAGATTTAATTTAAAAAATGCATTAAAAGAAAAATACAATATTAAAATGTAAAAATTGTATTACCTTCAACCAAAAATAAAATTCATCAACATGTATGATTTTAAAATGTATTAAAATGTACAAATTAAAATTTTATAAAATTAAATGCTTTAATATCCTGTACATCAATACTGATTATTTGAAAGAATTTGCAATAAAAGCATTATAAAAGTAAGTAAATGCATTAATAATATATTATTCACATGTTATTAGGTCTCTCTAAAAAACAAGTGGTCTTTGGTTGAAGATTGCTGAT